GCGCGGCCCATGCTTTGGCGACTTCAAGACTTCGGCAAGATGCTCACACGCCACCTCGCCTCGAGACGCACAGTCTTCGGGGTTTGCACCGGGGTGCCACGCGGCGAATCGCCAGAGGTGTGGGCGAGGTGATCGCGACGAGCCCTTTTTTCGTACCCTTCCTGGAGCAGGGGGGATGACAGCACGGCCCTGTGTCAGGCACAAACCTGTCATACAGCTCGTCAGTCCCCGGCCCCTGTGAGCGGAGGAGGATGAGGAAGAGACAGCGATGAGGAGGAGGAGAAGGATGCGGAGCAGGACCAGGAGGAGGAGGAAAAGGAGGATGAGGAGGAGGAGGAGGAGGAGGAGGAGGAGGAGGAGGAGGAGGAGGAGGAGACGAAGATGGAGACGGAAGGGATGATGATGATGATGATGGTGGTGGTGGTGGTGGTGGTGGTGATGATGATGATGATTATGGTGATGGTGATGATGATGATGATGATGATGATGATGATGAGGAGGAGGAGGAGGAGGAGGAGGAGGAGGAGGAGGGGGAGGTGAAGCAGGAGCAGGAGCAGGTGGAGGAGAAGGCTGGACCAGCATGCCCTCGCCGCATGGCCAACCGAGGCCTTGTGCCGTCCTGGAAGTCAGATTGGAATTCGAGGTCGATCTTACACTCATGTTGAGCTTCAAACTCGAGCCCGATCGTCAATTAGTTACACATATTCACTTTGGATGATGCTAGAACATCCACAAGTGAGTCTGCAGCTGGGGCAGCAGCAGTTGCGTACTACATCGAAGACGCCTACGGCGAATCACCGCCCCCCCTGCCTTGCTGGAAGTGCCGATATGGCCCAAACTGTGTGCAACGCTTCACCATACCATTCTACTGTATGTTCTCCATGCTGCTGTGGAAGCCCTTGGTGAAACAATTGGGGACTTAACACATATGGTGACTTTGATGCTAGTGATAATGGTGACCGTGATGCTGCTTTTGATGATGATGCTGATGATTTTGATGATGCTGATGATGCTGAACATGATGATGCTGATGATGATGATGATGATGGTGATGATGATGGTGATGATGATGTTGTAACGATGATGATGAGGCTGCCGATGATGATGCTGATGCTGATGAATACGACGATGCTGATTTGGTTTTATGATACTGATGCTGCTGATGATGATGATCATGTTGGTACTGATGATAATGATGAGGAGGATGCTGAGGAGGAAGGCGAGGCGGGGGATGACGGGTTGATGATGCTGGCGATGCCTTTTTTTTTATTTTTTTTTTTTTTTTATTTTTTTTTTTTTTTTTTTTTTTTTTTTTTTTTTTTTGTTTATTTTTTTCTTTTGTTTTTTTGAATTTTTTTTTAATTTTTTTTTTATGTGATGATTTTTTATTTTTTTTTTTTTTTTTTTTTTTTTTTTTTTTTTTTTTTTTTTTTTTTTTTTTTTATTCTCTTTTTTTTATTTTTTTTCTTTTTTTTTTTTTTTTTTTTTGTTTTGTGTTTTTTTTTCTTTTTTTTTTTTTTTTTTTTTTTTTTTTTTTTTTTTTTTTTTATGTTTTTTCTTTTTTTTTTTTATGATTTTTTTTTTCCTGATGAGTGCTGCTGCTGTTCCTGATGAGATGCTGATGATGATGCTGCGAAGGAGGAGGAGGAGGAGGAGGAGGATGGTGGTGATGCTGATAAAGATGATGCTGGTGGTGATGATGAGGAGGATGATACTGATACAGATGGTGGTGGTGGTGGTTGTGGTGATCATGATGGGTGATGTTTCTAGTGCTGCTGGTTGTGATGATGATGATGATGAGGAGGAGGAGGAGGAGGACGAGGACGAGGACGATGACGAGGACAATGTTGATGGTGATGATGATGATGCTGATGATGATGCTGCTGATGATGCTGATGATGATGCTGATCCTGATGCTTATCCTGATGCTGATGAGGATGAGGATGCTGCTGCTGCTGCTGCTGCTGCTGAGGAGGAGGAGGAGGAGGAGGAGGAGGAGGAGGAGGAGGAGGAGGAGGAGGAGGATGATGATGATGATGATGATGATGATGATGATGATGATGATGGAGGACTAGGGGGAGGCGGCGGAGGAGAAGCGGGACGAGAAGGAGGAGGAGGCTGCGTTCACCGAATACTCCAGACGACAGGAACCAGGAACCAGGAACCAGGAGGAGGAGGAGGAGGAGGAGGAGGAGGAGGCGGAGGAGGACGAGGAGGAGGAGGAGGAGGCGGAGGAGGAGGAGGAAGAGGAGGAGGATGTTTGTTAAGCATCACCGCAAAGCTGCCCGGCCTTACTCCTGGACAGTGGTCGAGGCTGTCCAGGGCCTGGGTATACCTGCCGTGAAAAAGATGACGAAGAGCTCCCAAAACACGAACAGGACACTGTTAAGAGCGAGCACTTGGCCGTACACCACGAGCGGCAGCCCGAAGAAGAGGAGGGCCTCACCCGAGCCGCCGTCGCCGTAACACACCCGGCTCATTTTTATCGTTATCCCAATCGTCGGGGATAAGGCGGTCCATGAGAGATTTGTGCCACGTCCTGCTGCAGCGTGGGCATCGGTACACCTGAGGGACACGCAGCAACGGGATCCTTCAGCACCTGCATGCGCGGCGCTCTCACGGCCACGGCTCCCCAGGACGAGGGCACATCGCAGAGGGCACACCCAAGATCGTGGAAAGCGCGGCCCGCATCGACGACCACTCGCAACACAAGGCCCGCCTCTCGGATCACGGACTCCCTGCTGCCCGCCACCTCCTTGCGGGGCGAGCCGCCCGCGCCCGCCGCAGCAGTTGCACCGTCGGCATGAGGAGCACGCACACCACCAGGAACGAGGTCGTGACCAGCAGGAGGACAGACGACCACGCCAGCAGTACGTACTGAGCCCACTGCCACCGACGACTCGGAACCCGTGGCCTCGCAGGCGATCGCGTCCAAGGAGACGGCCAGCTCCGACACCACGCTCACCACAGCGACGTCGCCAGCCGAAGGCACATACTTGACAGCGTCGCTGCCCTGCTCGACCTTCTGGCACTCAAGGCCGAGCTCCTGGTCGCCGTGGCCCTCCCCGCACTCCGCGTCGAACTCGCAGGCCGGTCGGGCCTCGGGGACGACGGCATGCAGCATGGCAGGGGCGCTGCCCACCACTGCCGCGGTGTCCACGTCCTCGTACTCCACGCCGACGAAGGGAAAGGCGCCAGCACAACGCCCTCGCCCTGCACGGCCGCCTCTGGCTGCCCACAGAGGGCTTCCAGCAGGAGCATTTCCTGCTGGCGGCACTGCTCTGCGGCGGCCAGATCCGCAAGCCTCCAGCCCGCGGCCACGCCATGAGCGAGAGCGCGGCCCGCAGGCTCGGCGCCCAGGGCCAGCGGCACTCTCTCGTCCCCCTCGCCGATGGCCCACACGCCGGGAGCCAGACCCCCGGGCGAGCTGCACGCCGACGGCGCCCTCGGCGCCGAACGCCTGGCAGGCCTTCGACACCGAGCGGGCGGCGGGCCCCCCCCGCAGAAGCCGCAGGCCTGGGCCCAGCCGCCGAGTCCGCGATGCCCGCCGCGCTGGCACGGGTGAATCCCGAGGCAGGGGCCCTGGCGGCATGCTGGCAGCTGCTTAGAGGGAGCTGCTGGGAGCCAGAGCACGGCAAGTTCTCCGAATTCGTTTTGCGCATCGGCGCGGCATGGGAGCCGCGCCAGGGTACTGTCAGGGCTAGCCGGGCAGTGCTCCCCGCGAGGCCCCAGGAGGCCCCTGGGCTCCTGGAAGCCAGCGGCGGCCAAAGTTCACCGAGGCCGCGCTCCGGCGGTGCCGGCCGCCGCCACACGCGCGCCTCGGGGGCGGCGCCGGCAAGCCCACCATCGCCTGCCCAGCCGCAGATGGCGGCTTCCAGGTCCGCAGGGCGGCGGCGCCGCGCGAGGCGGCGGGCGGCCGTGGGGCCGAGCTCGGCGGTCTCCGCCGCGCGCCTCCCCGAGGGCCGCCACTGGGGTGGGCAGCCCGCCGTCGCCATCTTCTCAAGCGTCACCACCGCCTCTGGTGCCGGCCATGCGCAGTGCGGAAATTGCGAGCAGGGGGCCTGAGGCCGGCTCGAGCCAGAACGGCTACGGAGGAGGAGGAGGAGGAGGAGGAGGAGGAGGAGGAGGAGGGAAAGGAGGCCTCTGGGGGGCCTCTTGTGGCCCTGTTGGGGCCTCGCGGGGCCTTCAGGGAGACTCTGAGGGACTTTTGAGGGGCCACTTGGCAGCCTCCTGGCGCCTCCGTGGGACCCTTGGTGGGCTCTACGGGGCTTCTTAGCCTTCGGAGGCCGTCTTGGTGGGATATCCGGTTTCTTTACAAACCGAACGACACTTTACAACCGAGGTAGGTCACTTTACAACCAGCAAAGGATCGAATTCCCTTAGTTTTCCTTTGAGAACGACCATTTTACAACCAGAGAAGCCCACTTTACTACCAGAGCGATCATTTTACAACCCAGACGGGGCTCTTTGTAACCAGAGCGGCCACTTCACCCAGCCTTCAGAAGTGCGCGCGCGCGCTCTGCAGGGGCTGCTGAAACTTCTGAGCGTCTGAACGCTCTGCAGAGGTATCTGGGCGCCTGAGCGCTTTGCAGAGGCGTCTGAGCGCCTGACCGCTTTGCCTGAGCGGTCTGCAGAGTCTCCTGAGCGCCTGAGCGTTCTGCAAAGGCTTATGAGCGCCTGAACGCTCTGCAGAGGTTTCTGAGCGCCTGGGCGCTCTGCAGAGGCGTCTGAGCGCCTGGGCGCTTTGCAGAGGCTTCTGATCGCCTGGGCGCTTTGCAGAGGCGTCTGAGCGCCTGGGCGCTTTGCAGAGGCTTCGGAGCGCCTGAGCGCTCTAAAGTCTTCGCACATCGAGAAAATCTGCTTGCGATGCCCAACAAATACACCTTATTTCCGCATGCGTTGGCTAGAATTCAGTCAACGATTTCTTGGGCACTTTCCGCCTTCCTGCGCACGCATGCTTCCGCAATTGCGCAAACATGCCGTTTTGCGATTGCCAGGCG